TATTCCTAGACTACTGGATCTTCAAGTCAACGAAAGCCATCATACGTCTGTTCGAGTGATTGAAGAAGAAGATTGGAGGCAACCACTGATGAAGTACCTTGAACATGGAAAGTTACCTGAAGATCCGCGACAAAGAACATACATCAAACGAAGAGCACCACGATTCATCTTCTATAAGGGGACATTGTTTTGCCGTTCTTTTGAAGGACTATTATTGCGATGTCTTGACAAAGAAGAAGCCCGCCAAGCGATGGAGGAAGCACATTCTGGCTCATGTGGATCACACCAACCCGGTCCCAAGCTCCATTTTCGCATCAAGAGGATGGGCTACTACTGGGCGACGATGGTGAAGGATTGCATGGATCATGCCAAAAGATGTCAAGCGTGTCAATTTCATGCAAACTACATCCACCAACCTCCAGAGCCTCTTCACCCAACTGTAGTTTCATGGCCTTTTGATGCATGGGGACTTGATGTTGTTGGACCACTTCCAAAGTCATCAAAGGGACAGATGTACATATTGGCCGCTACGGACTACTTCTCTAAATGGGCGGAAGTAGTTCCACTCAAGGAGGTGAAAAAGGAAACTGTCGTCGACTTTTTCAAGTCATATATAATTTTTAGGTGCGGCATACCAAGATACATAATCACCGATAATGGAACGCCATTTGACAACAAGCTCGTAAAGAGTCTATGCGAGAAGTTCGGTTTCAAGCAACATAAGTCTTCAATGTATAATGCACCTGCCAACGGCCTCGCTGAAGCTTTTAACAAGACGCTTGGTAACCTTTTGAAGAAAGTTGTTGCAAAGAACAAGAGAGACTGGTATGAGAGAATTGGTGAAGCTTTGTGGGCATACCGGACAACCTTCAGAACTGCTACACAAGCAACTCCTTACTCTTTGGTATATGGCGTAGAAGCAGTCCTACCGTTGGAGCAACAAATTCCATCATTGTGCATAGCAATCCAAGAAGGGCTCACGTCCGAAGAGATTGCTCAACTTCGCCTAGCAGAGTTAGAGGCATTGGATGAGAAAAGATTGGAAGCGCAACAAAAATTGGAGTGCTATCAAGCTCGACTAGCTAAAGCCTTCAACAAGAAAGTGCGGCCACGATCATTCCAAGTGGGAGACTTAGTCCTAGCTGTTCGACGACCCATAATCCTCAACAAACGCATAGGCGACAAGTTTACCTCAAAATGGGATGGGCCATATGTTGTGAAGAAAGCCTATTCAAGTGGCGCATACAAAATTGTCGATAAGTATGGTCTCAGAGTTGGTCCGATCAAAGGAAAATTTCTAAAGCAGTACTTCCCATGAAAGTCACCTATGCTCCTAGACGTACGAGCCTAAACTGCAAGTCATGATGCTCCTCGACGTACGAGCCTAAACTGCAAGTCATGATGCTCCTTGATGCATGAGCCTAAACTGCACGTTGCTAGACTCCTGGCCCGCATGAGTCTAAACTGTGTACGGCCCCAAAAAAAAGTCCGCTAGGTTGAAAACCGCGCGAGAGGCAACCTAGGCAAAAATTAGGACATTAAAAAAAAACCCATCCCTCTGAACTACGTTATGACTTGATCCTTGATCACGCCCAACTCTAGTCCTAAAAAGGATAAGCGATCGCTGCAAATATAATCCGGTCTAAAAGTCCTGAGTCGAATCCCACAGAGAACTAAGGTTTCGTTGTAATTGTTCAATATCGCAAAGAAGAAAAGTTTGAACAATTTCTAAATTATAATATTAAGATTTTTATATCTAACTAATTAACCAACAAATACTATAAAATGGTAAAATTATCAACTAACGAGACAAAGGTTTGGAGACTAAATTAAGGAGGTCTAGAGTTATGATTTCCCCAATTGTTGATTTCAATAGTTGTTTGTTTCATATAGCTTTGACTTAGTTGCTTCTATCAATCATGAACTCTCCAGCTATCATAAATCTCTCTCAATCAATTATGGTAATTTACTAGACGCACTCTCTCAAGCTACGCTAGCTAGATTCACATTACAGTTCACTTAGATCGCACCCGAGGTATCGTTATCTCTAATCCAACCTCTAAACCCTGGGTTATGACTCTCGCCTATACTCCGGGAGTGATGTTGTTCAAACAACTACCTAAATATGCACTCTCTCTCAAGAAGATACATAATAAATAGGAACGGCTAATTGAGGATCCTTTCAATTAACCAAAATCAAAACGTAGTTGAACAAATAGAGATTAACTACTAACTCAAAACTATATTAATATAACAACAAATTCATCCCCAAAAGGTTCCATCAAAACCCTAGAAAACGAATTAGCTTTTCATAAAAGTATGTGAAAACACAATACTCCAATTCATAACCAACAATAAAATAGGAAGAATAAGGGGAAAAACTCGTAGTTGAATCTTCCTCCTTGCTCCAAGCATGTTCTTGCCTCCAAGGGTGTTGTCTAACCCTAAAGTAGTGTCTCTCCTCCTCAAAGTGGTGTTTTAGGATGTATTTATATGACCTAGGGTTGATGAGGGGCGGAATTCTTAAATCCAACTTCGGATGGGAGAGCTGGAATCCGCGTCTGCTTTCGCGTCTAGACGCGGACTTTGACGCGGATTCGCGTTTGCCTTCGCGTCTAGACGCGGACTTTGATGCGGATCCAGCTTTTGAAATTCTTCCATTTCGCGAAGCGCTCCATGCCTTTGCTTCGCTTCGCTGTTTTGTGCCTTAACTTTTCTCCTTTTTCGCGTCCGTCTTCGTGCCACGCACGAGAATAGACGAGCTCCCACTCCTTTAATTTCTTCTTTTTGTGTCGAATTATCATCTTTTGATCATTTATCATCCAAACTCGTTCCTACACATAAGAAACACATAATGAGTATATTTTACTTTGAAAATCATATAATCTCCCGCGACACACACAAGAATTAATATGCAAATATACTCAAAAATATGCACTTTTCATCATTTATCAACACCCCACACTTAAACTCTTGCTCGTCCTCGAGCAATCAAACTACACTTTTTTTATAGACACGACATTTTTAAACAATTCTCCTAACTCATCACACCAAGAGTATTTAAAATAGACTAAGCACAAAAGCATAACATCTTCACCTCAAGGTTTGACTCATAAGTACCACGCATTATTCACAACTCACCCACTTACTCTAACATATAGGCCACTGACCTTACCTTTCCTTCATGAATCAAGTGCCCTCACACAACAAAAGAGAGTAGTTCCACACAATAAAATTTAAGAACACTTAGGAACTCAATATAGAAAGAATTCACTCACTCTCAGAAATAACATTCATATGCCACAAAAGATGCACCATAAGCTTGCCCATAGTGTACTACTCCACTAATCGATCTCATTCAATCTAGGATCAATTAGGACTTTATTTGGTTGTAATGTAGGCTACGGGACGGGTAGGATATATTTAGATATAAGAGTGACTACACCTCCCTAAGCACTTTAATACATATACTTTAACATTCAAACCCCATACTTATGTCAAACCAAACTCCACCTTCACATCAATGTATATTACCCCATACTTCTTTAAGCACAATTACAGCAAGAGTCACCACTTATTAAAAAAATACTTTTTTCCCACAGCAATACAACTTTATTTTTTCAATTCAAGTGGCTCTTACTTGTTCAAAACAGTGCACCTTTCTCCTGATTTCATTAGTTCCACTCAAAAGCCAAACCAACCACCCCACACTTTAACTTTTATATAAATCATCACAATTCAAGTGCTTATGAGAGGTTAAAAGGTTCAAATAGATAGTCCATTCAAACAATTGGGTAAGACTTGTAATGTGGTTGCCAAATAAATAGGATTAGAGGCTCAAATGGGTTAACTACGATACATAACAATTAGGCGGGTAAAATATACTTATCTGGCTCAACAAAGAAATGCCTATATCACTTCCTAGACTGAACAAAACTACTATTTCGCTTTGCAAACACACGGGGCAAGTTCTAGGCATCAAATGCAATGCACAGAATAACACCCAAGCCTCACACACACATGGCACATAACTCACTCAGGATTGGATTCATCAAGACACTCTAGTCAAAGCAGTTAAGCAAATTTAAAATCATACAATTTAAGGTACTTATACAAGAGTCAAAAACTGAGCCTAAGCGTCACAACCAAAGTACTCACTATTCTCAAGGCATAACAAAGTCAAGAGATATTGCTTCAATTCAAAACACAACACAATGGCTCCTACTCCCAAAAAAAAACTAACTACACCCGGTTCAAATAAAACCCTTGGAAAAGAACCGCGGCACAAAGAAAAACCAAGGGGGAATTATTACACTNATTGGATGAGAAAAGATTGGAAGCGCAACAAAAATTGGAGTGCTATCAAGCTCGACTAGCTAAAGCCTTCAACAGAAAGTGCGGCCACGATCATTCCAAGTGGGAGACTTAGTCCTAGCTGTTCGACGACCCATAATCCTCAACAAACGCATAGGCGACAAGTTTACCTCAAAATGGGATGGGCCATATGTTGTGAAGGAAGCATATTCAAGTGGCGCATACAAAATTGTCGATAAGGATGGTCTCAGAGTTGGTCCGATCAACGGAAAATTTTTGAAGCAGTACTTCCCATGAAAGTCACCTACGCTCCTCGACGTACGAGCCTAAACTGCAAGTCATGACGCTCCTTGATGCATGAGCTTAAACTGCACGTTGCTACACTCCTGGCCTGCATGAGTCTAAACTGTGTACGGCCCCAAAAAAAACAAAATGGGAGTCTGCTAGGTTGAAAACCTCGAAAGAGGCGGCCTAGGCAAAAGTCAAGACCAAAAAAAAAAAAAAACTCATCCCTCTGAACTACGTTATGACTTGATCCTCTTCATCGAGGTATGTAGGAAGCTTAGAGTTTCATTCTAAGTTCAGTCACATGAGTTTAAAAAAAATAAAAGTTTGGCGTCATCGGAGCATTACATTAATTCTTCCAAGTGTAGTGGCACATATCTATGAGGAAAAGAGACGATTTGCTTTGAAGTATAAAAGATGTTTTATTGCTTCAATAGTACAAAAGTTGATACATCAAAAAAAGTGGAGACAAAAGGAATTAGACGTTTTCCTATACAAAAGCCTAAGTCATGAAAATGATCGTAAACTAGGTTTTATGGCCGACTCGTCTTGAATGCTTCTTCCAAGTCCATATGACGTCTCCACATTTTAATACACTATCCTCAATGCCTCGTATATAAGAAGTCATCTCTTTTGAAAAACCTTTAATCACCACGGGAGCCGCCATTGATAAACTTCAAGACCGTCAACAAATCAAGTGCAACAATTGGTGAAGAGGTGACTCTGCATCTTGTGTGACATCTCAGACTGATATCTGGACTCGTTGAACTTCTTCGCAAGTCTGCAAAAGAAATAAACAAAGAGATAAGATTCATGATGATAGCCGAATCCATTACAAGGCTGTAGAATCAACTTCAAAAATATTTGTTAGGCTAACTAAGAGCGAATGGAGCTTCATATTCAACAAGATTATAGTTCTCGACGTCCGAATTTCATAGGATCAAACTGTTGGTGATTTCGACGCTCCTAGTTCAAGATGCAGTTTTTCTGGCCAAAAGCACGCAAACGTGAAAGTTCCCTGCGGTCAGTGGGACTTCCAATATTTTTCTGTTTTTAGCCCGAGAAGAGTTCCGGGATGGAATTTTTATGTGTTGCAGCTCTAGGAGTTTTCTCTCCAACGGAACAAACGGATTGTAATTCCGATACTCCTAGCTCAAGATACAATTATTTTCGCTGAAGGTACGCAAATCTGAAAGTTCACTGCAGTTAAGTCGACGCCGCGAATTTTCTGTTGATACCCGAAAGGAGTTATGCCATGAAAGTTATAGATCCTTCAGGTCTCCGAGTTTTCTTTCTAACGATGCAAACGGATTGTAATTCCGACACTTGTAGCTCGAGATATGAATTTTTCCACTATAGTGCGCAAAGCTGAAAAGTAATTTCGTGGACAGATGGGTCAAGTTCAGAAAGTTGTTGCGGACAATCTGCTAGGAATTCTTCTATGATATCTTCACGATTTCATCATCTATGAGTCTTCTTTCCAATGGCACAGACGGCTCGTGATTCGGACGCTCCTAGCTTGAGATATGTGCGTTCCAATGATAGCATGCAGTGCTGTGAAGCCGAAATGACAGACTGGTGTACCGCCTTCAAAAGTTCATTCCGACTTGTCCTGATGGAATCTGGCCCTGAATTTTTGATATGTCACTATGTGTAAGTTTTGATTCTGCAGAACCAAGAGGATTGCAGTTTGGACATTCCCAGTTCGAGATATGATTTTTTCAATGCGAGCATGAAAGGCTATAAAGTCAAAATAGCAAAGACGCACCAAGTGTTTGCTCGCCGAAGTTGGAAAAGCCTACTCCAGTTGTCTCCCTCGCTAGCCTGCAGCAATGTGATATGGTACATGTCGCACTCACTCGCCAAGGATGAAATATGGTCGCTCGAGCTCCAATCCTGTTTCTCACCAAGTCACAAGGCGGAGATGTACCATGTTCTCGCTCGCATGTTGCAAAGTGGGGATATGGCTCGTCGATCAAGCTCGCTTAGGAATACTCTATATGTCTCCCGTCAAGCTGCAAGAAGGGATGTACCAAGTTGCTTTTGTACTCTCTTGAAAACCTGCAAAATAAGAAAAGATTTTGGAGCCCTCGGTGCCAACAAGATGACGCTTTTGCAGATACAGTTCAAGTAGCACGACGATCAGCTCGATTAATGGATATCGGTGCCATAGCACGACGTTTCTGCTTTTACAGACACGATGCCAGTGATACGAAGCTGCTGATCCCAAATGATTGATCGGTGCCAATTGCACGAAGCGTCTTGATTCTACAGGATCGGTGCCAATTGCACGAAGCTTCTTAGTTCTACAGGGATCGGTGCCAGTTGCACGAAGCTCTCGATTTCAACAGCAAGTTTCGGTGTCGATGGCATATCGATTTCCCTGCGTTGGTATATTTTTATCGTGCTTGAAAAGAATTCAGTGGAACATAGAATCCACAACATCATGAAGCATCAACGCTGGTATTTTGGAATGTTTCCATAATCTTCAAAGTCACCTAATTCGTGGTTCGTCATGCCTTCACTCATGGCTCGTCAGATTCATCTATGTGTAGCAGAAACTGGACAAGGCCTGGGAGTTGAGTATGACAACGCCGCTGCAGCAAAGAGCTATCCACCGTGTAAGAGAAGCTAGCACCCAATATATGAAGCTTGGGCAGAATCTGCGAAAGAAAGGAAATTAGATAGCATAAATAGAATTTGATATCAGGTAGAAGTAAATCCAAGGCAATACTAATTCTTTGCTACTGCTGATATGATTATGCTTTCACCAAAGGAGAGTTGACGTCAATTGTTAAAGGCATGACCCATGTTTCGCACCCTCTTGAGACGTTGAAAAGGCTTGCTTAAATTATCACAACTTGAGCTGCTTTTATAGGGGGATGATTAGATTGCTTAAAATGGGCTTGTAGCTAGATTGTTGGCAATACTACGTTGGTTGTTGGAAAGTTGCGCAAAATATCAATTATAATTAAAGAATTATTACGGTCCGCAACCTAAAGGCCAAGTATTTATATGATACGTGCAACTTGATTTGTGTGAGAAATTGAGTCAACTGCTCTACGGGTACTTCAAGCCTTGTCTTTACAGTTGAACAAGTCACGTCACGACAAAACTTGAAGTAGGGGGCATCTGTAGACATATAAAATTTTATTGGGTCTAGTCCATACAAAATTTGGATTAATTCAATTGGGTTGAATAATTTATTTGGGCTTTACAAATTAATTAGTCCATTTTATTATTTTCAAGCCTAAGGTCCATTTCATCTTAGGCCCAGACTTATGCCATGTGACATGGCATATCAAGTCAAACTCCAGGCGAATAAGGTGACGCCACGTGTTAAATGATGTGGCAATCCAAGTCAAAAAGCAAGAACCAACCACAAGTCGCCAAGTGGCTAAAATGACACGGACCAATCAAAATTCAAGCAAGAGAGTTCTTATGTAGCTTGACTGTCCATCCTCTACAACTATAAATAGAGGGGTTACATAACTCTCAAGGGACATTCAGAGTTGGAGAAGAACACTCCGCAATTGGTGAAGGCATCCACAAACAGAGAGATCAATCATCAAGTGCTTACTTCTTCAACAAAGGAGTGATCAACGGAGTTCTTCCCGGAGATCAACCCGTAACAACAAAGTGCTGCTCGACGTTCTTGGCGATTAAATACATCACAAGGAGGTCTGCATCATCCTACATTCGAGAAATACGCCGCTTCAGCCCTCGAATCACGGAGAATTTTAGAGAGGAGAATCAAGGGATACATAAAATTGTACTCACGAATATTTATCAATAAAATTACTTTTTTCTTCATATTATTTTTGTTGCAGTTTATTTTTCGTATTACGAAAATTTGTTGCGAACAGTTATGTTATTACATTTATTTCAAGCGATTCATTATTTTTTTAAGACTCTTTTAATCTTGTTAGAGATTTATAGATCAGTAAAAATTATTGATTCTTCTAGTACTATTCATTTTATTTAATGTATCTTTTATAATATTGAATCGACATGAAATTAAATGAAGCGATATAGATCGTAAATATTTATATAGTTGATCTCAACTTACTTAAAATTAGAAAGCAATTATTACTCTAGCAATCCTATTTTAATTGTCAAGGTTACTAAAAACACTTGGCCCAAAATGCTTGTCATTTTAGAAAATCAAGATAGAACAAATTAGTTTTTTTAATTTTGTGCAGAATAAGAATTATTCTTTAAAATAAATAATATTAATAAAGTGCACATTTATTGAAGAAGGATAAGCATAAGTTAGTCAAAAAAACACATCTTATTAGTATGGTTTTTTAGGGGAGTGCAAAAAGCAAATATGACAACTAAATTAGCAGAGGAGTAGTATTGTTAAAGTAACTATAATAAATTAACATAATTTAATGCACACATTCGACCGCAGTAAAATTTATAGTAGTTAGCAAATTGTGCAAGCGTGCAGGGGAGAAGAATCTTGGACAAGGGAGACATCCCACATTTTTTTTTTTGTTAAAGAAACATCAACGCCGCCCCCACTTGATTTATTTAGGAGTTCATTGAATCCCACTGCTTTTTTCCATCTCTTTTCATTTCCTCTCTCTTCCCACATAACTAGAGGCATAGTATATAATAGCAGATCCAGTATAAAATTCTCATACATAAATCCATATCCCATATTTCAAACCAAAAGATCAAAAAATACAATATTATTGTCACTCGCGCAAATTGAAGAAAACGAGAAAGAGTGATCAAGAGAAGTTGTCCGGCCTCTCGTCACCTTAGAGAATTTCTTGATAAAGGTGACGTGATAAGCAACATTATGGATGTTAAAACAGTGTCAAACTCCAATTATGAGTTCCCAAGGAAATATGGAAATACTTTAGACTATCGCAGATTATTCTCACAAGGGCAATATGGGAAAAGGATATCCTATTTCAGCTTAGTGTCATTGTTTTTTCTACTTTGTCTAACAGCATCTTTGCTATTTCTGCCATTGATACTTCCACCATTGCCTGCACCACCACATTTTATGCTGTTGCTACTCCCCATTTTCATTATGGTACTGCTTATGATCTTGGCTTTCATGCCTTCCAATATGAAGGACAAACAATCACATACAGATTTTTAGTTACTCTATAATTTTATGGTTACTTGATAGTATACATTTTTTTTTTCTTTCTTTCATTCACCTAAATAGCAAATATATATATATATATATATATATATATATATATATATATATATATCGAAATCAGGTATGCCCGATTCCGTGGGCTCGAGGGTCACTTCGAGAACAAGTTCGAAATGGACCAGGCGCGAGCCCGATGGCGAAGTCCAAGATTCGAAGATCAGAGTGCTCGATGAACACCGAGGACACGTGTGACCGACCTCGAGATGGTTTCATAACGGAAAGAGCGAGATTCCCGCAGGGGCCCTAAAATCACGGCGTAAATTCCGGAACGGATTTGTACTAGGCGGTTAGACAGCTGTATAATAAGATTCCTTACTACAATTGGAAGTGTACCTTATGTAGGATTCCTCTACTATATAAAGGGGACCCCAATCATTTGTAACGCATCAATCATTGAGAAGAGAATATCCATATTTCACTTTCTTGCTTACTGTTCATCTGACTTGCCTTATTATTTTATTGTTCTTATCCACCTACCTCGAGGCCGCCTTTCTTCGAGGTCGAGGTCTGCTTATACGTTGGTTTGACTTACTTTACTCTTTAGATTACTTGTTTATCAATTCGTATTGGATTAAATCATGTATTCTTAAAACCACAATACACGCTTAATTGTTACTCGGATTTTAGGGTGAACAGTTTGGCGCCCATCGTGGGGCTAAGGATAATAGTGATTGTTTCAGTGCTGATTTTGATAACACACGTTATTTTTACACTTATTCTTGTCAAGAATTTTTGTTCTCAGGTTGAATCATGTCAAACTCACAAAATGCACCCGTACATGCGATGGCGGTCTTGGACTTCACGGGAAAAATGATAATGTAGTTGCTCCAGGAACCGGTTGCCACCAATTAACCCCGGGGAAGTGCCGATTGCAGAACCAGTCGATTTTAGTTCGCACATTGTCGCGCCCCCTTTTTCCCTCTTTGCATCGAAAAATCGGGTTTATGACATTTTGGGTATAGGACAACTCATTCCTTTTGGGAACTGGATTTTTGCATTTGAAGAGTCGCCACCTAATGATTTAAGGTGCATTAGGACACCTATGGGGTTCAACTACAACTATATTTTTTGATAACCAGAGATAGGGTAAGGGCTTGAAATTATCCCAAGGGGAAGGTGTTAGGCACCCCTCAGGATCCACTAGTGTGGTTCCCGGCCAGACAGTTCTTTGTGAATTTGTGCAATTAGCAAGTAAACAAATATATGCTCAAATAGTAGGGGATTAAGTTTAAACACATAAGAGTTTGAAAGAGCAATTATTTAAAGGGCGGATTTTGAAAAGAAATTACAATTCTATAAATATTTAAAGGAAAAGAAAGAGGAGGGGGAGGTCCTAGGTTATTTGTAATATGGATCATATCAATGCAATACCTGGTAATCACTCCTCAAAAGAGGGGCTACACGTGGTATTAGCGCACCGGTCATCATATCCATATCTACCTTTCCCACCCCGTTAAGGTACTAAAGCGCGGATTGGTCTCGACCACTATTGCATGCTATTACCCGTCCCATTTCTATCAGTCCCGGAGGAACTTAGGACTACTATTCCTAAAGGGGAGGAATATTTGGCTGCCTTTGAGGTTTCAAAAGGTGAAAAAGCTAAGGCGACATACAAAAACACATAGGACTGCACGTTAAGGGGAAGCACGTAAACAACTAAATGGCTCATGTATACCTCCTCAAGCAAAGTACATAAATAGCATGACTCAAACACAATCAGGGTCTGGATCTAAAGTACTAAGGCAAGGGGAGTTTAAGTTGTTGAAGCAGACCAATTTATTACATAACTCAGATAAGAAGTCCGAATCAGACCTGCCTGCTGGTTGTAGCAACTACTGATTAACAAAGGCAGGTTTAGTTTTATTATCGTTATCACCTAAGGCTTGCCTAGGTGTTTGGGTGAGATCCTATAAACACGATATCTATTACCAATTCAGAATGTGGCAAAGCAGTAACGATTAAAACGAGTGATTTGAGATCCTATAGGCATGCTTTCTAAATCGTATTAACAAGAAGAGAGAGAGTCGTTGAAAATTAGTTCAGAATAGTATGAGTCAAACTGATTTTAAACTAGACTGGTTTCATATCCTATAGGCATGATCTCTACTATTGCTGATTTTTAATTCCTATAGACATGATATCTAGTCGAACGTGAAATAAAGCAGGCAAGGTTTACTTGAGATTCCTATAGACATAATTTCTATGGAGAAATACTGATTTTAATCTTATGAGCACGATGTCTGATTGTAACCATTTAGATCCTAGGAGCATGGTGTCTAAGTGTGGTAATAAACATGTAGAATTTGGGACAAATCCTATAGGCATGTTATCTAAATGCATAGTTAAACATGCGGGCTAAAAAATCCTATAGGCATATTATCTAAATGCTGAATTAATCATACAAAAACAGGTCATATAGGCATGTTCTCTACCCTTCTAATAGTTAAACATGCATAATTACCCAGCCCTTTTCACTAACCAACCCCAATGTTTATTACAAATTATTACAGATCAAATACTGAATTACATTAGAAAATTATGAAAATAAGAAGTTACAGCCATAGGAAGCCTGATTCTGACTTCCTCTCTGAGTTATGGAACAAATCACCTCAAATCCCACTTGTTTCAAAGCCTTTCTCAGACCTGGGTGTGTCAAAGTTCCCTAAGGGTCTCAAGGGAC